CAGAGGTCATTAGGTTTATGGAGCAGCAGCTAGAGCTCACTGTTTACCACACGGACACTAAAGCACTGCTCTCTGAGTCAGCTGACCTAATTACACAAGCAAAGAGCTGCTGAGGATTAAATATCACTACTATCTCTATCAGAAGTAAAAATAAAAGAGGAATTTTTGGCTTAATATTATAAAAATGTGCTCACTTTTCTCATGTTTTCTTATGATTATTTACATCATTGTCATTACCTTTCACAAGCCTAATTATTGTTTGCTGATGTAATGTTTTAAAATAATTTTAATTTTTTAGGTAAATGATAGTATTTTATCATTTGAATTTAGTGTGTATTTGCAGATGAAATCACTAGAGTTTTAAACAAGCCCTTTTTTACACAAGAAATTTTACAGGTTTAAAAACGTCTAATACACTAAGCACTTAGCAATATGTAGTCTTTAGACTTTGTGCGTGTTTCATTTTCCTTATCTCTTAAACAGGAAAATACAACCAGGCCCTCTCACCAAAGGAAATGTGTACTTAACATTATGGCCTATTCTTAGCACTATTGAGCAAAACACTTGTGAGTTGGCCAGTATGCATTTGATTTACAAGTGTGCCCAACGCCTCCCTTTCTCTCTGTCTGCTGCAGCAAAATTTGTTTTCTGTTTCTTACCTTGGAGGAAGGGTTTTAATCAATACCTGTGAGTATGGTGTGATAGAAATACATATTATTTTGTACTCCATGAAAGAGGAAAAGATGGAAGGGAAAATAAAAAAAAAAGAAAAATATATAATTTCCACCTTAAACAGACATAATCAGCTGTATCAGGATATTTTGTGTTTTACATGTTATTTGCTGAACTATTATAGAGTTGGCATCATCACTTTAAAAGCTTCAGACCCCAAACTTGCATGAAAAATTTATATTTTTTTTGTTTTTGTTAACATTTCTTCCATTTTTGATATATCCAAAAAGTCCCTCTTCTTTGCTGTAAAAATATCTTAAATATGGCTGCCTAAAGGTCTGAACTTGAATATGCAGAGACCTGAGACTCCAAGCAGCTGTTGTGGTGATGAATGTCACATGGGGCTGCCAAGTCACAGCAAACAGTCTACATTCGCTGTGTCGGCTCTCAAATTTCCCAAGCTCTTTTCCTGGGAGGATTATTATTTAATTCCAAGGAAAATTGAACAGCAGAAATGAGAATTAAAGTGAAAATTATAAAATGTAACTGCACATATTGGGTAATGTAATTAATAAAAAACAGGAAAGTTTTTTTTTTTTTTTTATATAGCAGACTACTAACAAGACAAGTCAGTGCTGTACATGTAAATAAAAAAAGAAGCATAGTAGGAAAAGAACATCACATAAATGTACATAAATGTAAATGTATTTAAAGTAACTTGGGGTTTCAGCTCTTTTAGAGTTTTCTGAGAGTTCCAGATTAGTGGAGCATATTTTCCAAAATTATTTTAAATCTTAATAATGAAAAAATTTAACTAATTGATTGATTATTTGCCAAGTTTTATGCTGAGATATTAGTTCTTTAATCCTGCAGATGGTCTTTAGTTGATAGACGGCTGACATTGTTAGTGCCTGGAGGAGGAGTCCATCACTAGACCATGATTTTAAGCATGATTGGTGGATTCTAGCTGTATTTGCTTAAGCTGTGTGCTAACTCTTAAATGCTCTTCCTTTGGTCCAAAATTATTAATACAGCTTTGTCAAGATTTAGTGGAAGGATATTTTGGCACATATTGATTTGTTTCTAAGCATTTGCCCAGGGCAGGTATGGGTTTGTAGTCATTATGTGATATCAAAATGCATAGCTGTGTGTTGTCTGCATGCTGATGTTGAATCAGAGTGACTCTTATACCCTTTTTCCACTGGCCGAAAAACCCATTTAAACCCGGGAATAATTATCACTTTAGTTTGATGCACAGTTCTTATATAATAGAGGGCAGCGTTAGTTGAAAATCAAGGTTTCCTTTTCTTGTGTTTTGTCTTTAGTACAATAACTCTGGACTATTTGAGTCTGATGCAGAAGCTGTCAATAGTCACTGCTGTCACCCTCTGGTTTAATTGGGAATTGCTTGTTCAGCAAAATATCCGTATCTCACAACATTTGAGAATCTTTCAAATATTCTTGTATCCATATCATGATCTAGATTATCACAAAAATTAAATGGATGTTCCTTAACACAAGGGACACCTGCTTTTGCATGTGCTGTTGTGTAAATGAAATAGACAAGAGATGGTAATTATTGGCAATTAGTAAGAGACACACAATAAAGGAGTGGTTCTGCAGGTGCGGACTTGAGACCACTTCCCAGTACCTATGCTTTCTGGCTGATATTTTGGGCCCTTTTGCATGTTGGTGGTGCTTTCGCACTTGTAGCATGAGAAGGACTAAAACCCACACAAGTGGCTCATGTAGTGCAGCTCATCCAGGATGGCACAAAGCTTTGGCAAGAACGTTCGCTGTGTTGGCCAGTGCAGTTTCCAGAAGCTGAAGGCACTACCAGGAGACAGGCTATTACATCAGGAGACGTGGAGGAGGCAACAGACACAGACACAATAATGGGAAATAAAGAAATATATACAATAAAGAAAAAAATTCAGATTAAATTACGTTTGCAACATAGTCGGGTGCCCGGAAATCCAAAACTTGAGTCACTACCTGTGCCTTGAGAACAGCGACAACTTATGATTCGTAGAAAAACACTGAGCAAGAAAATAATTATAAATAACAGGAGATATGAAAAAAATCACTTAGCAGATAACAGCATAATAATTTCAACCTTTATTCGTGGGACTTTCAAATTATAAGCTTGTAAGCTGTTTTAAAGTGTTGTTCTAAAAATCTAAAACCATTCAAACAGCTACAAGTTTGGAAACTCTTCCCCACTAGCTTTGAATTAAAAAGGCAAACTCAAAAACTGAATTTGTTTGTTTTTGCAAGCTTTTTTTTCTTAGAGTTGCCCTTTCCTAGATGACTGAGAATCTTTGACCATCACTGTGCTGTGTGACTGTTGCTACGGCTTTAAAAAACCTGAAACAGCTTATAGCATGGTTGATTATTGTCTAGGTTAGATATTAGACTGAAAGGGAGGAAAGAAATAACTGGCAGCATAAGTAGAGAAAACCCTTAGGTGTAATTATAGGGTGGAGGTAAAGTCAGTGGGAGAGGGAGAGAAAAACAATGGCATAGTAACAAAGAAACTGAGTTCTGGAGCTGGAATGAGTTCAGTTTTAGAGTCATAGTTCAAAATGCAGCTTAGTTTTTATTGCTTCTCAACTATTAGAAAACCAAAATAGATCAAAGCACATATGACCTTTAGGAAGCATCCACTGCTGTCACTTCAGCATTAAATCTCCAGCTCAGTTTACTACACTACTTCTAGTGAAAAAAATAGTCTGTCAGTTCTGTACATATGAAGCACTGCCATAAATTTAGGTTTAAATCACTGCATGATTGCTGTCTGTGTTTGTATATCTGTATAGAGTGGGACAGACGCACACACAGCTGGGATTTCTTGGCTTTGTTCTGGGTTTGCAAAGATTTTCTTTTTTCTTTTTTTTGCTCTATGGGTGTATCCAAGTGTGACGAGCTGCTTGGTCTTTGGTTTTTAGTAAACTATGGTGCGTCCTGTGGAACGGAGCTGCAGCATTCACATCCTAGCAGAGTTGCTGATTAACAGACTGAAAACAAAGGGAGATTCACACGGGGCTGGGAAGCAGACTCCTTTTAAATCTGCACTCCAGGAGTGGCTGTTTATAAAACAGTATTTTTATTAATTTTTTTCATTTGATGTTGTTTACATAATGCAAAGTAAATTATTGTAAGGGGTTATCTAATTAGTTACATCCCAGAATGTTGTTTTAAATCCACAATTGCACTGTTGTGTTTTATTTATTAATGAGGCTTTGTAGTGCTGCTAACAGGCAGCCTACTCACCCTCTGATGACAACTGTGGGAGCTCTTCAGATCCTCTTGTAACAGCTTGTCTAGTTGGAGGAAGATTTAGCACTCAGACTCCAGAGGTCCTGATAGCTGCTAATGTCCTGGAGGAGTGATTGACACAGAGAAGCAGATCATCATGTCGACTAGTTGGCCATTCCTGCTGCAGCTTGTTCTGATGTACTTTTACTGTTCTAGTATAGGTGGTATAGCAGGCCAAAACACCTATTTAGTAAGTTCCTCCATTCTAATTCCCAACCAAGTTGGCACAGTTGTATATTGTGGTGTATTAAATACAGGAACATGTTGCTAGGTTTTACTTCTATATGTCAGTGAGAAATTATATTTTAAATGTTTTTGTTTTGCTATCCAATATGCTTTCGAAATGTTGCACTGTGAACCTTTTGAAGTGTTTAGTCTAGACTTAAGATGGTTTATTCATAATGTATCAGGGTTCTTCAAAGACAAAGTGTAGTCTGGTAGAAGAATCGGGTTTAATTTCAGCCTCATCATGTCCGTAAAAGCATGGGGAAAAACAGTTTGCAAAAATGTAATTTTTTTGTTGCTGTTTTCTCTTTAAGATTGTTCACATTCTTCCTTTCCTCTGATAACCCTAGTCTTCTGTTCTTCTTTCTTTCTCTACATCCTTTTTCCCCCCACGTGTTAATTTTGCTTTTGTTAGTTTTCCTTTGTCTTCTTCATTCACTTATTTCCTTTCGTGTTCTTCCTTTGATTTTGACTTATTTTAAAAGCATGAACACATTACTGAGAATAACATGCTCTACTAAACACAGGATTAAATTATCTGTTTGACCAATGAGAAACCTTTAGTTACTTCACCGAACTATTTAGTTAGAAGTTTTACAGTTTTATCCTCTACTTAGTGGCATATTAGTTCGGTGTCACAAGCAAGACTTCTTCTCAATACAGTTTTTTTGTGGAAACAAGTGATATCTATACAAAAGCTGTAGTGAATATTATTTGCTTCGCTTGAATATGGCCAAATATATTCCAAAATAACCTTTTCATAATTTTTTTTATCTACCCTGCAGGTGGGACAGAGGGCAGGCTGGTGTATGGGCTCTGAGAAGGCCAGATGGAAACAGAAGAGGCCAAACATGAGGCGGAAGAAAGTCTGATGCTTGGACCATTGGGAACACCTCATCATTGTTCTCGCAAATTCCAGAATGGAGCCCGGTGTTCACAGGAGGAGTCTCTGCAGTTCGGCAATGGTGAGAGCTGGATGACCGGCGTGGTGCACTACGAGCCCAGCAAAGCAGCTGGCTCCATGAAGAGATACAGGGAGAACTGCAACGCTCCTGCCTCCGAACAAGCACCCTTCCCCTCCGGGTTCTACAAGATGAACGGAGATCTAATGAACGGAGACTTGAAGCGTGGATTTCCTGAGCAGTCCTCGCCGGTCCACCAGCTGAAGAAAATGAAAACAGATGTTGAAATGAAAGAAAACGGTGACTCAACCTATAATTTGGTGAAAACTGAGTCAAAGAAAACTGAAATAGAACACAGTTCTGGTCAGACTAATATTAATTTTGATATTAGGAACTGTCACATATCTAATGGAGATATTTTTAGTCTACCACGTAATAAGCCTGGTCCAAATGGTGCTGTATCTTCTTCCTCAACCATAGAAAGCACTCAAGGTGATCTGTTGGAGAAAACCCTGTCTCAGTATTATCCTGAGCAAGTGTCCATCGCACCGCAAGCATCTGGATCACAGCTGGATACTGTCAATGACTCATTAGCCACACACTCGGATGATGAAGGTGCCCAACCCCCTCCTCTAACCTCTGGCTTGTCAGAGTCGCAGCAGCCGCTGGAAGCATCTGCAGAGGGCAGGAATAGCTACAACTCTGGCAACTATTTAGTAAATGGATCTTCCAATGACTTTGGACTTAACCATCATCAGCAACAGTCTTCATCCTGCCATGGTCAGGAAATGGCTCTGGGGGCACAACAACATCCCAATGGGGGACAGTGTTTTCAAGATATTGCAAACCTTCAGGGTACATACACAAAAACCCAACAGGTGTACAACCCAAGGTCTTTTCTGAACCACAGTAATTCCTTGCAGACATCAGAGTCAGGCGGATACGGATCCCATCTTAACTCTAGTGTAGACGAGAACAGACAGAGTGAAAAACTTGGAGCCGGTCTGCATCATGACACCAGCATGGGATTCCAGTACGGGACTCCAAATCAGAACTTCCAAGATAATACTGGGCAGCAGCATAGACCTGATAGCCACATGGGAACTGACCTCCAACAGCAAAATCATATGGGGTCATTAAACAGTATGAAGAACACACACCAACAGGGAGCCAATGTTTCCTGTTCCACACCCAGCCAAACAAATTGGATGGAAAGCAATCTCTCACATTCCCGTCAGCAGCTGACACAACGCCCGCCATCCGAAGCAAAAGAGCAAGGAATATGGAGGGACTTCCCTGCTAAGTCTCAGTCAGAACAGCAAACCGCCAGCCCCCAGGTTTATAACCAGACAGATGAGCCAGACCCAGCACAAAGATACAGGGACACACAGACACAAAGATTTTTCACAGATGGCAGCCAAGGGCCTAACAACTCCCAGCAAAGCCAGGATGACTGCCTACCTGCTCGAATGCAATGTGCTTCAGCTCAGCACAATGCTGCCCCGGAGTGGCAGCAGTCCAACTCAAAAGCGCCTCAGATGCAGCAACATCTTCTCCCGGAATCGTCTGAGAAGAAAACCTTTCCTCAGAATCAGCAATCCAACTGCTACCTCTCCCCAATGCAATCAGAGCACTTAAAGGAAGACAAAGACTTGCAGGAGATCCTCTCTTCAGAGTTTGTGACAACACAGCAACAGCACTGTCATCTTCAACGCCCGTTGTCCCACCCACCACAGTTTGAAGCCCAGCAGCTAAAGTCCCCCACTTATAGACCTCGCAGCCAACCTCCACCAGGTCAGCACCAGCCTCAACCAAACCAGCCTTTCAGTAATAACCTTCAACACACTGACCAATCAGCATTTACCTTTAGTAACACTGAGATGCAACAACCGCAACATCAAAGACCTTGTCTCGTAAACTCAGGCAGCCAAAACCTCAAACACTTTCAACCACAGCAGCCTAACAACCACTGCAGTGAGCCCAACCAGGTGGACTTAGCCCAGACCTCCACACACTCACAACCTCACCTCCCACAGGCTCCGTTTAACCAGCAATCAGCAACACGGTTGTATCCCAAAGCTGAAGAGCAGATGAGGGCTTCTTGTACTCAGTTTCAAACAGGACCTCGACTACCTCTGGGACCGCCGAGTCCCCATGTTGACTTTCAGAGCCATGCGGCCCTGCGTATGCATATATTACAAAAGCAGAAACGCCATGGCCCTCCTCACCACTCTCAAAACTCAGTTGATAACAAACAAAACCTGAGAGCCGTAAAAATAGAAAACGGGCCCAGGTTCGAGCTGGCTGCCTCACGGCAGCAAGAACGGCTGTTCCAGATCCGTGACGCACGGATCGGTGGGGTTGAAATCAAGCAGGAAAACGAACAAACCCTGTGTGTTCAAAATAAGAAGGGAGGGAGCATTCTCGCCTCGATGGAACAAAGTTTGATGCAGTACGAGCCCTCGAATCTCTTTGAAAAGAAGCCCCTTGTTGTCGGTTCATCAAATAACGTCAAGGTGGAATCGTCAGGTGCCGTCACCATCCTATCGACCAACACGGATATGACCGGGGCAGACTTGTCAGCCACAGCGGCTTCATCCAATTCAGCACTGAAAAAAACATTGGACTCAACTCCCAAGAAGGACCAACTCCTGAAAAGTTTCATAGATTCCCCCATGAAGTTGTTAGACACCCCGGTAAAGAATCTTCTGGATACACCCATGAAAACCCAATACGAGATCCCATCATGTCATTGTGTTGGTGAGTCTTCTACTGTGGGGCATGAAATGTGCTCAATGGTTCAGGGTCTAAATCTTAACATATTACGCTTTATTAAATTTAGATCAAATCATTGAGAAGGATGAGGGCCCCTACTACACTCATTTGGGATCAGCACCTACTGTCGCTGGAATACGGGAGTTGATGGAGAAAAGGTGAAAGTTAAAGAATAGTTCAGTGTTTTAAAACTTCTGTTTGTTTGTATATTTATGTCTCAATTGTGTTTTGAAGGTCTGGTCTCGCTGGCCCAGCCATCAGGATCGAGAAAGTCATTTACACCGGCAAGGAGGGGAAAAGTACACAAGGATGCCCAATAGCAAAATGGGTCAGAACAGTTTTTATATTTCTTGGATGTTATTTACACTGAGAGAAATAAGCTGCCCTAAAGTAATTTAATATCACAGTAGTACTATAATCCCCCGTGTGGTTGTTCTGTTTCAGGTGATTCGACGATCCAGTGTAGAGGAAAAGGTACTGGTTCTGGTCCGTGAACGTACCGGTCACAGATGCGACACTGCCTGCATTATAATTGTAATCCTGGTCTGGGAGGGCATCCAGCCCAGTTTGGCTGACCACCTCTACCTCGAGCTGCGTGAAACTTTAATGAAACACGGAGCTCACACACAGAGACGCTGTGCTTTTAACGAGGAGTAAGTTACAGTTTGTTCCCAGAACTGCCTTACCGTTAAATTGTTGTAGTTTAAAAAATATATATGTTAAAAGGAAAACTGATATTTATAGACTGTAAACAGAGGGGTATATTTTAAGCATTTATGTATGCTTCTGCTTACATCTAGAAAATCAAGTTTCTCAAGTAGGGACGATAATCCATAAGAACAATGACTTTTAATGCAGATATGTTATGCACTACATTATTATTATTTGGCAGACTACTGACCACTGTCCATGAGTCACACATCCTCTACAAAAGGTCAAATGTCAATAAGCTGGGTGCAAAAAGATGCAGGGATATTTACAACTTGAGAGGATTGTGATTAGAGGCTGGGAGTTTTAAAAACAGGTGGACTGAGCTGCTCACAACGGCATCCACAACATGGGCTGCAAATACTGTATTTCATCATCATTAATACTTTACCTAAGAAACTGGTTTGTTGGGCAATGTTCCATAGAACAGCAAGCCTTTACTTTGCAAGTCAAGGTCCCAGAGTGTAGGAAGAGAGACGAGATGCAGAATCCATGTTTCTTGAGCTCCAGTGTGAGGATTTCACAGGCAGAGATGATTTGTGGAGCCAAATCATCTCTGTCCACCGTCAGCAAAAGTCAGCTAAGGAGTCCACCTGCTGCCGACAGGCTTTATGCAGATGGTGATTTTACTTTACGGCTAGAATAATCACACTGACAAATGTTTTTAAAAATTTGATAACCACTGTGGCTGACCTAAGCCCCACAGAGAAGCTATGGGGGATCATCAGGAGGATGAGCTAAAAGTCCACAGACTGGTTCAGCTGAGGGAAATATGTTTATTGAATGTTATGGGATATTCTGATCTATGGCATTTTTAGCTTTTTCATTGAAAAAAAATAATAAATACCACTCACTTTTTGGTTGCTAAAAAAGCCTGTAAAACATAAATACCACGAATAGAGCTTGCTTAAGATGTACTCCCATCGTTTTGTTGTTTTCTTGACTTTCACCAGCTTCTTTAACACAGACATGTGTTCCCTTTATGCTCTCAGGAGGACCTGCGCATGCCAGGGCTTTAACCCTGAAGCCAGTGGTGCGTCCTTCTCTTTTGGTTGCTCTTGGAGCATGTACTATAATGGCTGCAAGTTTGCCCGGAGCAAAATCCCAAGGAAGTTTAAGCTCCTAGGAGATGACGTCAGAGAGGTAGTTGATGCAAATTACACTGCTAGTCATGATTACAGCCAAATGCAGCGGGTTTTAGATTGATGGTAAACTGCCTGTTTCTAGGAAGAAAACCTTGAGAAGAATTTTCAAAATCTGGCAACATTGCTGGCTCCGCTGTATAAAACGATGGCACCTGAGGCCTATGGAAACCAGGTGAGTATATGCCAGCCTCAAGAAACTTCAAAACATTAATAACTTCCTATCTACGATGATGCTGAACATATTATATTTAATTCTCAGATTAAATCAAGAGTTTCCAGGATTGTTTTTATTTAAGACTATAATTTTCAAAGTAATGATCCCAGTCATTCAGTCGATTAACAAGCATTGTTAATGGAGATTTTGTAAAATGAAGGGATTTTTCAGAAATCTTTTTTTCTTCCTGTCTTTAGGTTGAACATGAGCACAGGGCTCCAGATTGTCGTTTGGGGCTGAAGGAGGGTCGGCCCTTCTCCGGAGTTACTGCATGTTTGGATTTTTGTGCCCACGCTCACAGAGACCTCCACAATATGCCGGGTGGAAGCACTGTGGTAAACAGAACCTAAGACACATCTTTATCTGTTTCCTGCTAAAGTATTCACACCCCTTTAATCATTTTTGTTATCACCACAAACCTTAATGGGAATTCCCTCAATGGGGGCTGGTCAGCAACTGACCAATCACTGACTGCAATTTGTCTCCAATTGAAACAGTTGGTACTTTGTGATAAATCATTGCAAAAACAAGTTAACATTAGTGTTATGGGTGTTTAGTGGGTTAAATGCAGCTTTTATTGTTCCCAAAACTTGAAAGGAGTCTTTTAAAATATAGAGTATTTTAATGTGATATCTACAAGACTGCGTGTCCATCTGTATGAAGGTAACTGCAAGCAAATCTTCAATTTTCTGTATTAATTACACAATAGACTTAATGGTGAGATTAGTTAATGCTATAGCTAGCTGTGCTTTGCGCTTGCAAATATATATGTTAAGCCTTTGTCCGCTTTGAATCAAAGCCAGCGTGACTTACAGATTATCATTCTGTCTGTGACAACAGAAGACTTTGAATTTAATGTTGATTTGTACCAAAAAGATCTAGAAAAAGTTTTAAAATAAAATGTATCAGAAATAAGTAGTCTAACTGCATTAAATCCTTTCTGGCATGTGCCTTTTTGTTTCCCTAGGTGTGTACCTTAACGAGGGAGGATAATCGAGAGATTGGAAAGATACCAGATGATGAGCAGCTTCATGTCTTGCCTCTTTATAAGGCTTCTAACACGGATGAGTTCGGCAGTGAGGAGGGCCAGCAGGAAAAAATGAAATCAGGGGCCATTCAAGTCCTCAGTGCCTTCCGTCGCCAGGTGCGCATGCTGGCAGAGCCTGCCAAGTCTTGTCGGCAGAAGAAGCTGGAAGCGAAAAAGGCAGCCGCCAACAAGAATGCCACGTTGGAAAGCTCCAATGATAAAGCTGAAAAGGCTCTTCTGGCCAAATCAAAGGCCAGCACTTATGAGAGTACTGGTCAGAGCGCTCCATTTACAGGTACTTATAATTGTTATAATTTAATCCAACAGGATAAGGAAATTTTCACCAGTCCAAAGCAAGTTTGGTCAGTGTGGAAGGACTCCCCTTCTACCCTTTCAAAATAACCAGTATTTTGAAGGAAAAAAGGCCAATCCAGTGGCCAATAATCTGAAACATAATGTGACCAATGGGAACTGATCAGAGAACATTATCAAAAGAAGACAAGTAGAATATGAAGGCAATGTATGGACCGAGTATGGAGGCTTTAGACCAATGTTCCAGTATGATAGATGATGTGCCTTTTAAACATTTTGTAAGTTATACATATATATCTATATATATACATTTAACACATTTAGAGCCTTATAATGACTGTTGATAGAAAACTGACAGGTTGGAGTACTGAGATCAAAGGAAAATCTGAAAGATGACAAGTAGTTCAACCTCTTACCCTAAACAATGATTTTCTTTAAGCCTTATACAACTGAAGGCAGCTTCTCATGTCCCTGTCAGGGAGCCTCCAACATGTTTCTCTTCTGTTCCCTTTTTCTCTTTAAGTCAGATAATTTCGGAGTGATGCGTTCAGTAGCAATATGGGCTTCAGATAAATATATGAATAAAGATAAAGATTTATATGCAAATTTAAAATTATTTTATGGCTTATATTTCTAAAAGAAAATTAGCTATTTATATCCAACCGTTTGTTTTGAAACTCAATTTGAGGTCTGATTACTATTGGCCTGGTTTAAAAAAACAAAACAACAAAAAAAACACTTAAAACACGTAAATTAACCTTAAATACTTCAAAAGGTTAAATGAAAACTAACAAAAGTCATTGATGTCTGTCTGAGAGTTGGTACAAGATTTCAAAGACTTTGAATCTCCATCAAACCCTAGAGGAATTCCCAAAGGTGAAAATAACATGGAATTTTGGTCAAATTTCCTAGAACTGTCCGGCCAAACAAAACTATTTCAAGCGTGAATCCAGACCTCATCCATTAGCATAGGGGTGCATCTATAATCCTGCTGCTTTCGCTCGGGGTCTCTGCCAAATTTGCAAAAACATTTAGTTAATCTTCTTAAACGTTTGGAGAAATATTCTCAATACTGACATTACTTTAAAAATCAGTATGACAGTGATCAATAGCAAAACAAAAAATAAAAGGTTTATGAAGTGGCTTAGTCAAAGGCCCACTTAAATAATGCTGTGGCACCTCAAGAGATCATTAATGCTCTGAGTTAAAACAATTCTGTAATGATTAGTGGGACCAACTACCTGCTTGTTTAAAAGACTTCTTATTCCTTCTTAACATAGGACCAGATTTATTCAGTTGTATTAAGAATTAACATTTTAAACTGCTCTTTGCTATTTACTCTAGCTATGGATTTCAAACATTGATATCTTGTTGCAATAAAAAAAAAAAAACAGGAGTAGTTATAAGAACTTAAAGAAAATAATATGAAACAGATTTATTTCCCCACTGTAAAGTAGTTTTTAAAAATCTTTTTCTGGTCTTGTTTTTTAGGCGCTGTCGGAGCCCCGCTTCAGTCAGGTCACCCATCATATCCCCTCGGTGCCATGCCTCAGCAAATTCAGCAGCCGCACCGGGGTGTGTTCCCCCCTTACCCTGCTTCGCCTAATACAGCTCTCCAAAGGTTCCCCAACAGTCCAGGATCTTTTCCAGGTTCTCCAAAGCCCAGGAGCATGTACTCTCCTCAGTCGTCAACCCCAGCCATGCCTTACCCTCCTTCATTTCCAAACTCTTACATGAACGGGCCTAATCGCCTACAGCCAGGTCCCCAATGTAATGGAGGAATGCCTGTCGAGGGTTTCCATCCGTTCTATCGCCAACAACAGCCAGCCATTTTCCCTGAGCAGCAGTGTGTTGCACAGCAACGCTTTGAGCTCAATTATCCAGCGAGGTACGGTCAGCCAGGCTTCCAGGTCAATGGTTACAGCGCCATGCAACACCCTCAACCCATGAGACATTACGGTCCTTTTGGCCACAACAGAACCTCAGATGGCCGATTTGACCCGCTATCAGGAGCTGCCTCTGTTAATGGTGCCGTGGATTATGCACTTGCTGTAGGGAAAGGAAACCCGTTTGGAGAATACCCAAATCCATACCTCCCTCAGAGCCCACACATCCCAGGCCAGGATTCCTTCCGTATGCAAATGCAGACAGAGATGGGCATGCCTAACCCACAAGTGCTTCCAGCTCAGCTCAGTGGCGGCTGTTTAAATGGCGAAGCACACATCAAGCAGGAGCCCGGAATGCCGCAGACACCCACGACCCCCAAAAAACCAGAGATGTGGTCGGACAACGAGCACAACTTTTTGGATCCAGAGATTGGTGGTGTGGCCGTAGCTCCCAGTCATGGCTCTGTCCTCATCGAGTGTGCGAAGCGGGAGCTGCACGCCACAACACCGCTCAAAAATCCTGATCGTAACCACCCAACGCGGATCTCCTTGGTTTTCTACCAGCACAAGAACCTGAATGAGGCAAAGCACGGGCTGGCGATGTGGGAAGCTAAGATGGCAGAAAAGGCTCGAGAGAAGGAGGAGGAGGCTGAGAGGAACGGCGGGGAAGGAACTCCAAGCAAGAGCAGCAAGAAGGGCGGGAAGCGGGAGCATCTAGAGTCTTCAGAGACCACTGGGGAACCTCCATACAAACGCTTCATAAAGGCACTAATGGAAGGATCGTCATCATCATTCACAACCAATACTCACGTAATGACTACTCCGTATGCATTTACCAAGGTCACGGGACCTTACAGTCAGTTTGTGTAGAAGACAACGTCCAGGGAAGTTGAAGGTGCTAAAACACAATTCACACGGATCAAATCACTAACGGAAGCCTTGTGATGAATAAAAACACACTGTTTTTCCTCACTTCTTACAAAACCAAGCTTTACTAGGTGATCCTTGGGAGGACGTGGTAACTCTTGCAATATACCTGAAAAATCTGTGGTGCTTCAAGTCTAACACACAAGGATCTCTTTTCTGCTGGAAACAAAGTTTCATTTATGCTGGCTTTATTTTTCTTACAGAGTTTCTAATCTTTGCATAAAGCACTGACTTTGTAAAGTCCAGAACTCCAGGGGCTGATAAGTCTACTAATCACCACTTTTTTTATTCAGATGCCTTCACACTAAAACCAGAATGCACTCTACAAGATATCCCCACGAACATCTCCATCATTTCTAGGAAGTCTGTGTTTCTCGGAGCACTTTTTTTTTTTATCATTTGAATCTAATGTTTCAGACATCAGTACATAGAAAGATACCCTGGATATGCTCTATAAAAATATGTATACAGGTGGAACTCTGTAAATGAGAATATCATGAAAAATTTGATCAATTTTGTGTTTCAATGCAATTAAGGGAAGCCTATTTTAATCGATCCGTAACTTAAAGTAGGGTGCCATCAAAATGGTTCAACTGTAACTTAATAAATGCTGTCAGTAAGGAAGAACATAGGAAAAAGAAGCTGAATGCTACCATCTTAGTTCCTTTAGCATAGCGAGCCCATGTTGAAAACATTATTTCCTCTTGTCTTTTGGTTTGTGTAATAGAGCTTCATCCACTCGTTAACTTTTTTGTAGTTGTAGGCTGGACTCGCATATCTGATGGGCATCATTCTTGTGTATTTCAGCTGCGTAATGATGTACATAAGGCGGAAGTCTGTCCAGATTCTGCACCCTCGGCCGTACTGCCTTTCCTAACCATGATAGAGTTCTTACTGTTAACCACAAAAAAAAAAAGGTGAAGGAATGAGAGCTAGGGGCTATTATTGGAATAATTCAGACAGAGCCTAATTGTTTATCTGTTGGTTTCAATGATCAAAGTTCACAGCTAATGACGCTCAGTCTCTTAAAACTACATGAAAAACAATATATCATTTTACACCCAAATCTGGGGCTTATTAAAAGTGGTTTGTTTGGGGTTCGATTAAATTCTGTATGGTTGTTTGATTTTATCACAGCCTTCATTAGAACAGGTATTGGTACATTTGGCTGTGTGGAAAATAGCATCTCTATAAAGCTTGTCAGCATAGAGAAGAGTGCTGATGGCTGAGCTGAAGATAACATGGCTCCCAAATCACTGCTGCTCATGTTTACTTGTGAAGTATGATCTGATGAATGCCATATTACATAGTATTACATAGAACATCATTCTTTTTCTGCTCCCAAAGCCACAACGAAAGGTCTTTTTTTTTTTAGACATGCTTGAGGAACAATCAACGTATAAAACTCTGATTTCTCTCATTGCATTTCAACTTTTACACCATCAAGTCAGAGATTAGAGGACAATCCAGTAACTGAGTGCATGTAACCAGGCTCACCGAAACTTTTTACTGCAGATACACGGATTCTGAAGGACGCATTTGTCCTTGTTATTAAACGAGCATCTGTTTTTATACTGTACTATTTCTTCCACTAAACTTTACATCAAAAATCTTAGATAAAATACTTCGGGAACCGTGCCAGTTAGAGATGGGTCAGTTATGTAATTTAAAATCTGATTTTAAATTATTTACTCTTAGGTTTGATTCTGGTAAAACCCTAAAAATGAATTGCAAAGAGGTTTATTAGTGGGCTTATGCGATCTGCATAAAGTTTTATCTTTAGATAAACATTTGGGTTAGTGAGGCTTTTCATATTTGCATTGATACAGTTATAGCCAGTATATGGCCAATGACACAAAAATTATTTTTCAAATAGGTTTTATTCAGTAAAATATCAGCATTAGGTTTTAATGTTAATTTTGTTTTTACAGTAACTAAACCCAAAATCCATCATACCTGGAGGTAATAAGCTGCTGTCACTATTTTACACCATGATGTGTACACCTGATTATATCCTATATTTCTTTAAACAATCTCGTTTTATTGGTCTCAAGAGGGTGAATTTTATTTTTTAATGTTTGTCATCTCTAATAATTTTATATTTCATGAACAAAAAAAAAATGCTTGAGCTATATCGCCTTTTGATTTATTCTATAGGGGTTTCACATCTTGAATAATTGAAATTAATTTGATTTTCCAACGATATTTGAATTCACAGAGATGCATCTGTAGCGAAATGTTGAACAGGTCATCCTATTGGTGCTTTTATCACTCTGATGTCACATACTGTATAACTTAACCATTCATGTGATGCATTTTAAACAAAAAAAATAATAATTTTTAGATTTTAGCAGGTTTATTTTGTTGTTCATTGTGAGCGTTTTTTTATAATTGTTCCTTACTGTAGGTTCACCGAACATCCTGGTTTGTGAATATTGTAGTTTTTATGTCTGTGGTGCTCAGTAAATGTGCTTTTTATAATACACTGAGGAACACAAACAGGGTAGGCTCAGTGTCAGAGTGCAGCTGGCTTGCTGCTGGGATAGAACTAAGATTAAAAGGTGAAATTTGTACAGTAAATTAATTACCCATGTTGGATTTTTTTTTTTTTTTTTAGATATATGTTGTAAATTGTGCTGAGCGTCATTGTGTTTCTTTAGGTTCAACAAGGTGCTATTCGAACTGGTAGAAATGTACAATGTGAAATTTTTGGACGTAATGAGGAGGCTTTTAAATAATGTACAGTATAAACCTGTCATATACCTCAAAACTAGCTTGGCAATAGGATTATGACATATCTTTCATCATTTGTGGGCTACTGTTCACACTATGTGGAGACAAAAAGGCAAAACAAAGCTCCATAGTTTCTACTTTCAGTATGTTTTTAAAGTATTAGCCGAAGCTTAACATTACTGCAAATCAGGGACATTTTAAGTAATTATTTGAGCAGCATCAAGCCTTTTTTAACAGTAGGGGACTCTACAGCATTGTTTTTTTTTTTGTGTGTGTAATAGATTTTACACAAATTTAAACGAAAAAGCATATCGTGCTAAAGGTTTTCTAAATTAACATATATGCACTGAATTGAAAAAAGGGAATATTGACGTAATTAAAGCAACATGTTTGCTTTTGCTCTCAAGCAAAACCAGAGCAGTGATTAAAGCTCCTGCATGGTTGTTAATTTAACCCCTTAATTATTTCTTCAACTTAATTGAAGATCGGTCGTGTTTTAGCTAAAACTCTCCCCATTTTTTTTTGTATTGATTTCTTTTTAAGCACTTCATTTACTTTTCAGGAAAAGAAGTATGTAGTTAAAAAAAATGAAATGTTTTATTTAAACAAATTGTACATGTTTGAAAAAAATAAATTATGTTACATTGTACATAGCAAGAATTTGTATTGCAGGAGTACAACTCATTGAGATTCATGTAAGGCTCTTTTTGTTCTGTAAACTGACCCATGGCTCATCTTATATGAACTTTAAAAAAAAATAAAAAAAATAAATAAATAAACTGGGGCCTTTCCAGGTGAATAAAATAATGGATTTCCCAGGAAGTTGTTTTTTTTTTTTTTTTGTAAATACTTTAACAGCAGTGTTTACAGTCATAGAATAAGTATAGCTCAGTTGTTTAGATGCTCTAGTTTTCAATTGTTTTGTTTAATAAAATCATTCAATTTAAGTAAAATAAATAAAAATAGAAACATTGATTATCCTTGTACAGGACCCAGCTACAGTAGCAGGTTTTCGAGGAGAAAGCCGAGGCACCAGAAGCGGGTTTAAAGCATAGCCATACTTGAAGATGCTTCAGAGTGTTTCTGAGTGAGTCAACTTTACTTGAATGACTTTCCTGACTTAACCTGTTCATTTCATGTGCTGAACTCAGACAGGTTAAGACAGCAGTTTGTACACTCTTGGTCTTTTTGCATTTAGACACTAAAAAAAAAAAGAAAAAGAAAAAAAAGTGCTTTAAGTTCTTGTTAAGTTTGGTATGCTAAAAAAAATGAAATAAGGTTGGCTTGTTAATACTGTAAGTATTGTAATGTACTGGATGCAGTTTAATTGAAAGCTGTTAATTGTATCATTCCTGATGTTGCCGACATGTGGGTGTTTCTTTTTTTTTTTTAATAAAACATATTTATTTAAAAGAACTGGATTAATTCCCCACACACACATAATCAAGGCCAATTTTAACAGAAGTACACAGAGGTCAGGTTTAGACATTTTATTTATTTATCCAAAATTAGAAATGTGTTTTACTGTATACACAATGTCTGTCGCTGAAAAAAAAAACCAATATCTGTTGATTGTTGTCAGATCAAAGCATACATTAAATCAAAACAATCAAGTACATAACCAACTTAGTGTACTGCTTAAAATATAAAAATCATTTGGCTCTGAAACATGAGTGTCTTTGTTGGACCATATGTTCCCTTTTGATAATCTTAAATTAATTTGTCACATTATTCCGCTGCTGAAACGTATAAAAAAAAAATATATCCACCTGTTTGCATAATTAGCGGCAGGATTACTTAATTTCAACCAAGACTTTCCGATGTTTCCCACGATAAATTAAGGAGGTCATACGAAATGCCACTTGTTCACTGCCGGAGATACAGAGAGATTTAGGATGAAATCAGAAATTTAATGAGTTTAATAAATAAAACAAAGTTATACTTTGCTCACCTTCTGCAGAGACAGGATGTGCATTACCAAACGCAGGAGCCTAAAAAGGAAACCATGCTTATTAATTATCTAAAGGCAGTTTAATATTCCACCAAGTTACATACAGATGTTATAAAAAAAATATATGATTTAATCATCTTTTCAATGTGGTGTACAAGTTTGTATTTTGTGGAATCCACATAGTAAAATAAATCATACAGGCATAAACAAACATAAACCTCGATAAATATCCCTCAACAAGCTGCCTGCTGGATGTTGTCCATTTTTCCCACTAGAATTGTTTCAGTTTCCTGGAACCGACCAGACTCCTTTACTGTTGTTCTTAGATTTTCTATGGAATTAAGGTCAGGATCTTAATTCCATAATGTACCAATCTGTCCAAAACGATCACAATTAAAACAACAAAAATCGCTACAATTTTCAAATACAATACAGGAACCACTAAAGGAGGCTCAAAGCTTTCAAAATGGAAAAATGCTGCAACACTAGTGTTATTCTTCCCAGTGAAGTTCTTTTTTTTAACCATCTTCCGCTTTATCCAGGACAGGGTCTTGGGGGCAGCAGTCTCAGCAGAGACTCCCAGACTTTGCTCTCCCCCAGCAGAGGCATTCCCAGGCTAGTAGAGAGACATAGTCCCTCCAGCTTGTCTTGGGATGTCCCCGGATTCTCCTCCCACTGGGAGGTGCCTGAGGCGTCAAGGGGAATCTGAAAAAGATGTTCTAGCCACCTCAACTGACTCCTCTCGAGGAGAAGCAGCTTTACTCTGAGCTACTCCCAAATAACAGCTCCTAACCCAACTCTAAGGAAAGCCAATTTCATTTGCTTCTATCCAGGATCTTGTTCTTTCTGTCATGATCCAGATTTCATAACCATCAGTGAGAGTAGGAACATAGACCGACCGGTTTGATCGAGAGCTTCACCTTTTTGCTGAGCTCTCTACACCACAGCCGACCATTAAAGCAGCAGCCACAACGATCCATCTATCAATCTCCCCTCACTCATGAACAGGACTAGAGCTGGGCGATATAGCTAAAAAATAAAATCTCAATCATTTTTCTTTTGTCATCTTGGAAGATTACGATTTTAATCAATCTTAATTTAAGTATTAAAAACTATGTGCCTGAATTTTAAACAAAATAAAATTAGTGTAAAAAAAGGAAACTTAAATATGCATAACATAAATCTTGTGCAAGTAACACAGTTGCTCACCCAACAAAACTTTTTGATTTTTTAATCAGTAATCAGGTGACAGAGGACAGCCCAGGCGGAGTCCAACATGCACTGGGAAAAGATTCAAATTAATGCCGAACCCTAGTAAAGGGCCCTCAACTCTGTACTCGTGGAGCACCCTTCCAGAGGGCACTGTGAGGGTCGCTGTTGTACGCTTTCTCCACGTTCACAAAACACATCTGGACCATCTAGGTGCACTCCCATGAAGTCTGCAGAGGGTGTAGAGCTGGTCCACTGTTCCACAGAAAACCACACTGCTCCTCCTGAAGCTGAGCCTCTCCACTACCCTGGCATAGACCTTCCTGGGGAGACTAAGAAATGTGATCCCTCTATAGCTGGAACACATCCTCCAATCTACCTTCTTGAGAGGGAAACCACCCCTCCAGTTTCCCAGTCCAGTGGCACTGTGCCCAACAACAAACTAATGTGGAAGATGCATGTCAGCCATGACAGCCCAACAACATCTACAGAGATAAAGTACTCAGGGTGGACCTCATCCATCTCCAAAGCCTTGACACTGTGGATTTCTTCTACCTCACCAACTTCAGTCTGGGTGAAGAACAAGTCCAGCTCCGAGCACCAGATGGAGGAAATCCTCAAAGTATTACTTCCACCGTCTGCCAATGTTCTCAGTCAAGGTTAGAACCCGCACTAAAAACTGTGAGCGAAGCACTGCTTCCCCCTTCAGCTGAAACCTGGAAACAGTTCCCTGCTCCAACAGAACAATGACCCCCAAACACAAACTGTTTGAATCGAACTGACAATAGACCCCTGCAACATCCCCAAACTCATATGATGACTCATATGATGACACCTATCAAAATAAAAAGAAAAACTTCTGTTTTTGACAAATGGAGACCCATATAGTTTTTCTACAGCATGTAAGAAACATTTAGACCGATAATATTACAGAAGCGGATGTAAAGGTGTGTGTAATTTATTCAAGAGAATTGAACACGTGTTGTTTAATTATTCTCCCCTAGAAAAGAACTAATTAAAATGAGTCAAGCTTAAAATGATTTCCAACAGCTGCGGTAAGAAGGCTGAATGTAAGTTTTAAAGCCAAACAATCTGTGCAAAAAAAAATGAAGAAGTGGATTCTAGATCCTCACCGACTGAACGACAGCTCTGGCTTCTTCAGCGCTGAACTGGAAAGGGCTGCCACAGCAGGACATGTTCTTACTGGGGGGAAAAAAACACAGCAAAATGGCTCTAGACTGAAGTTCAGCTTTCCCACCCGCCTGATGGATGTACACATCGTCTGCGTTACCATTCGATCCCTCCAGCATGCGTTTGCTTGTGCACAAGTGCCCTCCAGTGCTCATGGGTGGACTCGATTATCTCGACTGCAAAATCCTGTCACAAGGAGAAATCCATTTAAGCACATTCAGTTTGAGCTGATCTACCAGCTGTGCTCCATTTATTCAAATGAATTAATAACCTTGTCTTTGAATTCTTCATTAAATCCAAACTGGTTTTCAGGCTTTCCGTCGGGCACCTTGTATTTCCTAAACCACTCAACAGTAGCCTCCAAATGACCTGGTCGGCTCCGGCGAACGTCTTCTATACCTGAGTGGAGGAGAGAAAACATTTTCACATTTAGAAGCCAGGCGCTACCTTGGTTTCCATGAAACATAAGACTCGTCTGTCTGTTTATGTTTGAGATCAAACCTGTAAAGATTTCTAAGAATTAGCCTCGTGGAAAAAACAAACAAAAGCTCTTAACATCCACACCTTATGTTTAAAGAGTGCAGAATATCAACAAACCCATGTTGACGATAAAAACTAGAGGGGTAAAATCTAGTGAGATAATTAGGAAGAGTCACTAAAGCGGCAACTGACTATTTACAACTCAATATAAAACATACAAAAAAATCCATACAAATAGATTAGAATATCACCAAAAATATAACTTCAGAAGGTTTGTTCAAAAGGTGACAGTTGTATATTTTAATTCAAGTATTAATTACTGATAACTAGAATCTTTCATTAGACCAATATAAATGATTATTACTACAGATTTATGTTTTTCCCTGAACGTTAATGCTGCTGAACTGTGAGTGGTCAAGCCGACAGTCACTGACACCAAAGTTACTGCTGACTTATAGGACTGCTTCGAGTGCTGAAGCCAAGCATAAAGGGCAGAGACTTCTGCAACCGCACACATCAAATGTTGCTTGGGTCTGGTCGCGAACCAGTTGTGCTGGTTTGCTTCTGCACCGTCTCTCCGGAATGTCTAGGGACGCACAGCAGTTTTTCCACCAAAGCGCAAGGGGGAGCCTATTCGACAACTCGCAAGAACTTCGGGGGATAGTCAAGAGATCTTTGGCTGCGCCGGCAGGAGTGCTTATCTTCTAAAACAACAATGGCACTTCTGCAAGATATGACGGTCATGGAGATGGATCTGGAGTTGCTAGACATCGAAGAGGAACAGGTTCTGTTAATGGAGTTGGCAAAAAGATTGATTAACCTTTTGTCGTTTTGGTCCACTGTAGTTGTTCCTCGGTCTTTAAAAAAAGGCGCGCCCCGGCACCAAATCGAGAAGGACGACCACACAGACAGCCGGAAAGGCATACCACCGACCAATCACAGCTGCTTTTTGACTGCGCACTTCCACTTGAGGTCTGTGTGGGTTTGCGACCATCTGACACATAGTCGGGATTTTTTTTTGAGGTGCACGACGACGGTTGCAGAACCTCTGCGCGGGGGGCGTGGTCGCACACAGAGACAGATTTGATGGCAGATGATAGAGGCTATGCATCAGAAGCATAAATTGGCCTTAACAATGAACATTTTAGTGAAAGGAAAAGAAATGTGGTAAGAATAATGTGCACAAGCAAATGTGATACCTTCAGCTCTGTATGAGAACTTGTGAGGCAAAGCCTAAAAAATAGTTTGGGGGAGATTCACAGGGAATGAGCCTATTCTGGACTGAAAACTTAAAAAAGTCAGTGCTGACAAATAACTGATCAATCTTAATTAACCTAAAGATCTCAAAGAAACTATGAAGAATCATCAAGCTTAAGATGAGAGACACTAAACCCAACAACAAAGATGATCTGGAAGCTTCTATCAAAGCTGCTTAAGCTTCCTTTCAACATCATCTTTATGTTAGTCTGTTTTCATGAAGTCATTCATGGTAAAGGACAACCAGCCAAGTACTGAGTACACCTACCTTACATCCAAACACTGTTCAGTACATTCACATCTCTACATTAGAAGTTGTTTTCTTATTTATCTTTAGTTTTCAACTGTTAAAACTAATTGGGTTTTAATTAGCTCCAAGCCATTAATAACAGAATAGTTTTCACTTCCTAAATGCTGCAAGACTCCAGTAAGTTTTCCTGTAAAGGTCAGAACACACCAGTTAAGGACTTTTTAATCTCCAAACCAATTTTTTGTCAAACTGACTGTGTATAGAGAGGCTCCAACTAGGCAGGATGGGCAGTTCGTACAGATCATTTTCACTCCTGCCTCTGTACTATACACAAATTACAACAATTTCCCACATCTCACTTGGACAGTTTAAAAAAATAAAAAAACACCAGTGCATTCTATAAAGCAAAGCCCCAATTTGAGTCTGTGCAGTATCTCGAACCAGAGAAGATAGGGAATGTTCATATATTAAAAACATAATGAGATCTATGTCTAAGAAAAACAAAGCAATAAACTCTGTGGCATGGTTTATACTGTATGCAGACTGAGGCAGTGAAGTGATTCTCAGAGAGAGATCTGGGAAGTTTATCTTATTTTTTTTCATTAAAAGGTGAGAGAGATACACCTCACTTACCTGCTCTGTCTGCTGCTCGTTATTTGTTTTTCTGTGACGCTCATAGAGGATCACTATTTTACTATATCTATTTTTTTCCTGCCCCCCCAAGGAGATTGATTAAGTATGGTTTCTGCCCATCTTTGTTTTTGTAAGACTTAAAGAGGAACACTATTTTATCCTCCTGAATTCCTATCATGGGTAAAGTATTCTATTTGTTAATGTTTCATTCATTGTTTTTGCATGAGTCCGCCCCGCTGGCTGTGTATGCTCTGTGCAACTCCAAAACTGACTGTTTCCCATGCGATTAACAGATTTGACTTTGAACACATTTATTCAAGGATTGCGGTGAAGGTTGTTGCTAACATATGTTTACGACACTCACAGTTGAGCTTCTCAGCATCTGGGTCGTTGGCATTGATGGCGATCACCTTCCAGTCCATCTCTCCCTCGTCTATCATTGCCAGGATGCCCAGAACCTTTACTTGGATCACCTGACCTGGAGAGCACACCTGAAGAACAGTTCAACGGGTTAGAGGTAGACATACAATCCAAATAACACGCACGTCTTTGCATTTGTAAGTATTAACATCGACTACAGAGTAAACAGACATCTGCTTACCTGCGTGCCGATGTCACAGACATCAATGGGATCGTTGTCACCGCAGCAGTTTGTTTCTTTGTCCTTGTGGTTTGGGTCCTCCCAGGTCTTTATGGAGGAAGAATCCAAACACAAGTATGAACCCAGATGTTCTGACAATTATCAACAGCTAACAAAATACACAATGCTATGCAAAACAGCACCACGAAGTCAGCCACTATTACAACAAATATGTAAGAGATGGTTAAGGATGCAAATATCAGCAAATATCAGATAAAGAGAACATTTTGGACACCCAACATAAGTAAACAGAAGCATCCTTGAGTCTGCAGCCCTCCATGTGATTCTCCTGACCTGGGGGAGCGCTCCATAGTTCCAGATGTATCCTTTATGAGGAAATATGTTGGCAACATATCTGAGCTTTCCCTTCTTCACATCTTGTTTGATCGGATTCAGCGGCTCCTTCGTTGCAATCTGGAAAATAAGTTAATAATAAATATCTATAGTAATTAAATTCTTATTAGCGCTGCGCAAATAGTTTTAAACCTGATTACAAGATCAGTGTCTGCAATATATTGTGGTCAAAAAAATAAAATAACTGCTTGGAGGAAATATGTTTAGACTATAATACTGTTATAATAGTATAGTCCAAAACTTGAATGGACTCTATACCAACAAGTGAGACAGATTAGAGTCAGTTTTTCACAGAAGATGGAGCAAAAACTTGGGATCACCATCATTCACTAGAAAGTCACCAGCTTCTATTTTGGATGTGAAAAATGGGGCAAAGTCTGGTTAAACGCACTAGAAAAAACAGGACCTGAGACTAGGCTTTAATCTCTGGTAATCTACCCATGTCCAGATTTATAAATCCTGAAATGAGCATAAAAAGGACTTGTTTTGATTCAATAAATAAGAACTCCAAAAGAACCTATATGTTTACAATTTTTCTTTAAAAAAATTTCCATTGGGGCATTGACAAATTTGAAGGATATGATTAAATGCTGTTACTACAAGACGTTTAGTGTTATACAATTATATTTTTTTATGGAGCTGGTTCCTGAGGAAGCCTAATTTAAATAAGTTTATTTTTCAGGAGTATTATTTGTGATTGTGGGGCTCTGATTGCTGTGGTAAGCAGAGCAGAGCCAAAGAGTTTACTGAGAAAGACAGCGAAGAAGTATTGTTTTTATTTTTAATCATCACTTTTATCATTATCTCGATAATATTACCCAATATGGTGATAGGATTTCAATGCATACTGCCCAGCCCAGGTGTTATGTACGATTAATGAAGTTAACGCCATAAAATATTCTGCTTTATTACGCTTTCTGTTCCCTTAATAAGAGGCAAAACAATCTGTGATCAAAGTAAGTATTATTCACTTTTATAACAACACAATAAACAAACCTCCATGCAAATGAACAAGGCAGCTTGTCACTTACTTCCATTTTAGCGTTCGACCACCGAGGCACCTCAACCACCATGTTGTACAGCACCTGGAAGTGAACAAGGCATGCTGAGGCATAGAATGCATGTATGCATAAAATGGCCATAGTGTATTTAGACCTGACAATACCTTCATCTCACTCTTAGGTTTTTTAGCCGGAACATCGTTATCCTATAGGAAGGAAACAATCTGTTTAAATGTTTGTCCTCAGCAGAAACTAAAAAAAAAAAAAAAAAACAGCTGTTAACCAGTTACCTTCTCTGACTCAGCTTTAAGAGGAATATCATGGAACGGTGAAATGTATTTCCCATCAGAGGTTTCTAGGAGGTAAGAAACACGTGTTGACCATCAGAAAAGGAAATCAGGGTACAGAAGTTGAATAAATAAAGATCAGCACAGCAAAGACGTAGTTAACAAAATAAAACATGTTTGGTGATTGTATGCTAGCTATTTTTTCCTCACAGATCTCGCAAAAAAACAGATAAACAGAAATAAAAAACTTAAGGGACAGATTCAGCTAATAAAAGTGTATTTATTTCAATTCCTACACTTACATGTAGTCCACAGCAACATGCATAGCAGCATCAGTGAAACAGTCTTTTTCTGACTTTAATTATAGGTGGCAGTTTCCACAATTTCTGTCAATGAAACTAAAACACTGAGATTGACAGCTTTAATTTTCATTTAAAAATTGCTGTTCATTTTTTAATGCCGTTAGTAACATAGAAGGCACTTTTTTCCACCTAAAGAGTTAGAAACTTAGCGTCTCACTCGTGTTGAATGCTATGTAACTAAAAGTCAAGTTCCTCTATTTGGAAATAGCAGTTTTCAAAGTAGATGTTATAATGAAAATACAGTTAAAGGTACAGACTGGATATAGACAGTCAACCTTGTATTATAAGTCGACAAAGGAACCAAATAATTAATTTAAATGGCAATCTCTATGAGCAAGCAGATGATGTGTTGGCTTGGTGTTATTCAGTTAAATAAATGTGAAACATTGTTTATTTCAAATCAAACTGACAAACTTATGGAAGAACAGTGATTGTTTTGTCTGTTTTTTTATCAGTCTGACTGAAGAACTAGTTTTAGGTCGATACAATGTCAGAGTTTTTCGTCAGTTTTCATTACTAATCAGCGTTAATAAACATCCTGTTAAAACGTTTAATGAACATTTATTTATAGCTACCTATTCATTTTTAGCTACTTTATAAAAGCTTTTTAAAATGTTTTGCAGCACATCTCCTTGATAGGAAATCAAATATGTACTATATAGGCAAATGGATTTGTAGAAACATTTTACAGCAATCTAATGAACAAGGTTTGAACTTTTAAATATTTGTACCTGATATAGATACTCAGTAGGAGAAGGTCAATAAGAGACAGTGTGGAATGTTCAGCACAGCCAATAAGATTATTAGGACAGAGCAAAGGAAGCTGGGAGATTTGTTTAGAAAAGGTACACAAAAAAATAAGGCCCAGACATTGTGGATCACCCAGTTCAAATCTTTGGTGGATTTTTTAAGCTTTATATCGCCCTCTAGAGGGGGATATAGAGCAAATTTAAGAAATCTTTTTTACCAAACCACAACATTATTGTTTTGTTGTTTAATTCATTTTATTTTCTAACCCCTATGTAAGGTCAAATGAAATTTTTACATATGTGGACTATCAATATTATCACTAATTATCAGCATTTTTGATTAGCTACATCTCAGCTTATTTAAATTCAGGGGCAGAGCTAGATGGGGGCCAGAGGTGGCCATGACCACCTTTAGCCAGTCATTGGCCATCCCTACCATTTTACTCTCAGGGGGAATGTTCAGACTTATTAAACATTTACATTTTTTATATATTAAAATTTACTAGACAACTAATACGCTGTGGTTAATTATGCACATCAAAATACTAACTTTTAAGTTTATATATTCAGAATTCATGCTCACTTCAGAACTAAATTTTGTGTTATATGTGGTAAAGAGAAAATGTTCTGCAAGTCATCTAGGAGTCTTCAGTGAAATCATAGATAAATAACTACTTTAATCATCCATCCATCCATCCATCCATTATCTGACACGCTTGTCCCAATTGGGGTCGTGAGGGGTGCTGGTGCCTATCTCCAGCTGTCAATGGGCGAGAGGCGGGGTACACCCTAGACAGGACGCCAAATACTTTAATCATTTAAAAATCCATTTAATTTAGATATTAGTACACGTAAATATTATTCTTATGCAGAACAATTTTTGATAAAACTATGTAAATAATGAAAATGGGAACAATGTTTGCCCCAGAAATTTTGTCCACTACCTTTTATTTAGACAGCACGGATGTTTAAATATATGCGTCTATTTGTTAGCAAAGGCTGTAGGAAGGTAAAGCTTGTCTTTATTTAGAAAACATGAATGTTGTGCTTGTTCCTGTTGGAACAGTGTAGAATGACCCTAAGGTTCTGGTGCCTATCTGCTTTCTGCCACCCCTTAGTGTACATTGGTTTTTGACTGGCCACCCCTATTAAAATTTTCTGGCTACGCCTCTGTTTAAATGCGATATTTTCTCAGCATCCCGTCCAAATCTGCACATGTGCCATTCGTTTATTAACTGCATGGTCATTAGAATACAGACATAGGCAAAATAAAGTAAGAATAAGGAAATTAACGCTCAACATGAACCATTTGATATATTTTTCTGCTTGGTAGTTAGCAATTAAAATGCTTTAAATTATGCTTCTTAGTTTTACACACTCAGCTCTAAAGCTAAACGCCCACAAAGCACCATACCAGCGCCTGGATCATGTTCTAGTAACCATGGCGACCCAACAGACCAGGGCCGTTATGTATCCCCACTCTAAATATGCTGTTACTCATGGCTTCATTCATCATGGCGGAGGTGAAACTTACTAAAATAAATGCGGTAGTCTGGAGAATTTGGGTGTCCTCTCTCCTCCGTTTGATAGTGCATCATTTTTCTGGAATAATATAAACTGGTTACAGCCGCTGCTGTTCGTGTGACTCCTTTGTTGGTACAGGAAGCGGGAAAAGGGGAGAGAAGAGTCACCAAGCAGCCGAGCGAGGAGCGGAGCAGCTGTGGTCTCATTATAACCTGAACACTTTGCTTTGCTCTGTCGGTTCCGGTTTCCGCTTCTGCTCTTCCTCCCGGCAAGGAAACAAGATACCACTCCCGGTTGGATTTTCAAAGTAAAAAAAAACAAGTTGCAAAAAATATATTTATATTTTCCTTTAAAATCACATTATTCGCCTCATTATTGGGTACACATGCCCAATTTCTTGTGATATAGTTTAGTGTATTAGGGTTGGGTTGTCCAAAATGTCTGATCGGAAATTGTTCCTTTAAGGACTCTACAAATAAAGCAATCTTACACATAGGATAATATTTTATGTCTAACTATTCCATTTAGAAATGCCATTTGTTAAGTCTATTGTTATTTATCCACAAACTTTTTTTTTCAAGCTTTTATTGCCATTACATTCCCACAAGAACAGAGCAATGAAATGAAATATCTGCATTTAACCCATCTCCTTGGGGAGCAGTGGGCTGCCACAGGCAGCATCTGGGGAGCAGTCTTTTCTCAGGGACCCAGAGTGGCACTCTGTGGGAGTGGGGCACAAACTCAGAACCACTGGATTCCCAGTACCCAGGGGTGCCTAAGTCCAGCCAAGAGCTACCATCCTGTACCTTTTAGATGCATCTCTTCTCTAGCACACCTATTTCTACAGCCTCAGACCCCACATTTAGCTTAGCAGAGGTGTGGTAACGTAGCCACTCATTTGATTCAGGTGTGTTAAAAATGGTTGCTTTAAAAAAATGCAGGATAGTAGCTCTTAAACATTGGACTCGAGTACCCCTTCCCTAACCACCAGGCTGCTGTATTTTTTTTATACTGTTGAAAAACACTAAGCATCTGTTTTTTTTTAAGTATGTTTGTGCTAAGGTGTTGTAGGTTGATGTTTTTGACTAGTTATTCCCTGAAATTCCCTCTCTCATAGTGTTCTCTGTCAGAACCAAGATATATCACTGAAAAACTAAACGTTCCATTTTAAACTTAAAGTATAAATCAAGGCAATTTGAAATCAATTTTGAAAAGCATTTTCTAATCGCATGTTCTAGATTGAATTTTTTTAAGAGTACTTGTAAATAGTATGTATCAATCCACTATTAAATAATGGAACTTGAAAAGCTATCTTCAAATCCCATTTTTAAATGGAAATATTTTTTTTAATAAATCTGATTAGACACATTCCCTAATCATACATTAATCTAATCAAATGTTCTTCCATCCGTCCGTCCATCCATCCATCCATCCATCCATCCATCCATCCAT